CTACGCAATTATTACTACGCAGTCATATCTGGTGTCCAATTGGGAGAAGAGCTTGTTATTATTTTTGTTTTAGGGCCTGATTACATGAGCCGGGCTGGCCCTGTTAGCCGGGCTGATTTCTTTTGTTTTGGTGTTCGCCAAAGCGTGAAAACAAAAGAAATCAGCCCGGCTAACCGGGCCAGCTCGGCTCATGTTATCAGGCCCTTAGACTGACTTAAGGTATGTGTCGCACTTGGGCAAAGTTTTGTACTTTGCCGGCGAAAAAACCACAGAATATTTTAAACCGCAACCGGAAAGCAAACTTTTGGTTTCAACTATCAAGGTCGCACTAGGTGAAAAAAATGTCAGTGACGACACTTTGATAAACCAGACACACGTTTATCGACGTGCTATAGGGAGAGAGCAGTGAGCTGAAAAAGGAAAACAAACGTTAAAAAAATGCGTCCCGTTGAAGCAGTGTTAATAACGATCACGGTGATGCTTATTCTTCTTATTCAGTTAAATCACGAGCACTTTTTTCTTTCGTATGATCTATGAAAGATGGGTTAACTCCTGTTTAACTGTTTTGACTGCTGCTATGGTGAGAGCGAGAAATCGATGTCAGCGAAGATTACTTCGAGCGCCATATGCCTGGTTTGTTCCGCGACCAGTCGAGTCGTTTGCTGTTTACTGACAAGCGATGACAGTTACCGCTGTGATAGCCATTGTTTAGCCCGAGTTTTTCGAAATCTACCTGCCCCACCCAAGCACTACGGCGTCTTTGATGTTTTGGCCGGTTTTCAAAGTTTTTGCGAACTGGAAAAGTTAGGGTCTCATTAAGGCAATGTGCCCCGATGACAGATTTTTACACCAATGTGACCACATTCACACCAAACTTTGCCAAGTGCGACCCATGCCTAAGAAAGAATTTTATTCAGCACCAGTTCAAAATCCTAAAATACACTTTCGTCGTAAATTTTACGGCAGAAACGCAAGGATTCGATGGATAAAAGTCGCATTAAATCTCCTTGTGTCTAGGCAGAAAGAGTCTCATTGACTTACATGCCATCAGTGACAGCGCGTCACCCAAGCCGAGAATAGACTGGACACTAAGAAATAACTCAGAGGGAGTTGGTACCTAGTCACCACAAGTGCGCCTGTTTGTTAAAGCCAAATTGCGGGAAATTGAAATTCCTGAATAAAACAACGCGGTTCGATACCCTTGCGCATCCATTCCTACTCCNCTTAATACCTTATTATAGGAAATTAACAATGCATGTAATTAACGCGAATTTCAAAAATTCGCGTTAATTTTATGTATCTTAAATTACCTCATTGTTAATTAAAATGACGTTAATTAAAAGCATCGTTATTTAAAGACACCTTTATTATAAGCAAAGCCACAATTCCTCTACGTCACCGTCAGAGTCGGTTGACGC